CAGGAAGGCAGATTATTGATTCTGGGTTTTAACTTCACTGATCAGAGAAGCTGAACGGATCTGATCAGCATTTAATCAGCTCAGAGACGCTGAAGCAGAAACTGTTTCAAACTGCAGCGTTGATCCTAAACCGGTAAAGAACCAGTTCAGTACAGGAAGTTCAGGATTGATGTGGGCGCGGCTTAATCTGAGAGGAGCTCAGTGCGTATATTTCTTTTTCTCCTCAGCCAATGAAAAGCTTGTTGCGTCATAATGATCTGCTTTATATAGTGCAATAAAGTCAGAGCAGTTCACTTACAGCAGTGCCTCACCTGCTGCTGCCTGAGCTAAACAAAGAAGCAGTCAGACATGTTTGATCAGGTGTCATGAGTCTCTCTGTGCTTTTCTCTGGTATGAATCCAGAATAAACTGTTTGTAGTGATTCTGATCTGCAAGAAAAGAAACAGCAGAGAAACAGAACCGAGGAATAAAAACAATTTAATTATAGACAACAGAGACGATTCTGGTAGCTGGTCATCAGTAACCAGGAAGATTTTCTGTTCACTGATTAAACACTGAGATATGTCTGCTATGAGGACAACATGGCGGATATACATTCATCCATCCATCATCCATCCATCATGTTTGTTTACTTGCAGGTAAACATTAAAGCATGTGTCAAACTCGAGGCCCAGGGGCCAAATCCGGCCCGCCGTAGCTTTTTATGTGGCCCTCTACAGTCTAGACTCTAGACTAAGCACTAAGTGTGATTAAATATTATATTAGCAATCATATCAATGCAGTTTTTATCTATTTACTGCCAGTTTATATCAATCAATCCCTCCAGTTTCTTGAGAATTTAGTTGATGTATCTCTATAGTCCATAATTTATACAGCGAGTAAATAAACTGTCACATTTATTATTAGTTCCTGAAGGGACTGAAAAGATCTTCAATAATATAATGTAATTTTAAGAATTCATTGACATATTAACAGTTTGTGAACAGATTTCATCAACACATTCTGGGTCAACTGGCCCTTTAAGAGCCTTCATGATCTTGATTTGGCCCAAAACGAAAAGGAGTTAGACACACCTGCATTAAAGCCTTTCAGCATCAGGTTCCCAGAATCAGACAAACATCCAGAAACCAGTTTGACCAGTTAGTGGAGAGCAGCAATGATCAGAACCTTTTCTGCTCCAGAACCAGAACTTAGACTTTCTAAAACTCAGCAGCATGGTTTACTACAAAATAAAACATTAGTAACATTTCTAACCTGCAGAAGCTGCTAATATGAACAGACTTACTGATGAAAACACCAACAGAACTGAATCTGAGGTTTGCATGAATTTAACTGCTGGTTTGGATCTCAGATCAGATCCTGTTCTCTAGAACATCCCAAACTTTCCATGTAAAACATTGATTTGCATGTTGGATTATTCAGGATAATCATCTGCTTGACTCTATTAGTTCAGTAAAGTTTCCTCCTGTTTCCAGCTGAAGATCTGGGCTGAATGATGCTCCGTCTCTTTTAGTGTCTTTCTTTTCAGATATTCATTTTCTTTATGAATATCCAACTACAGACAGAAAACTCACCAAACATCTGATTCCCACTGAACAGTAACTTTTTAAAAACGTAATAAACAAATAAAACGACGATCCTGATGTTCTCTCAGCTGTTACAGTTTTCATATTGTTTCAACAGGATTATGATTTTCAGAAAATAATCTTTAGATATCTAATGTGTAAATAAAGTTTTAATTTGGTCTGAAAGTTTGATCTCAAGGTGTCAGTTATATTTTATCACCATCTGAACAGTTGAAGGTGTTGGATGGTTGTAAACATCAGTGGATAAAAATCAGTTTTATTGGTAAAACAGGAGGAAATTTATTCAAATGTGTTAATAAAATTCATCACCTGGGAGTATTTGTTAAAAAACAGAATCATTGATTATTAAACCAAACTTTGAGTTGTAAAAAAAAAATTCTGAAAGGTTGAGTTTAATGAGGCATCATGGGTAAAATGAGACATTAAACCAGTTTAAACTTTAACTGATGAAAGGCATTTTCTGGTTTTATGATCATAGATAAATGTTTTCATAAAACACAGAGATCCTGACCTGCAGCAAGTCATGAGCTCTCCTGATGTTACGCAACAGCAAAATGTTTCCCAGTAAGTCTTCTATGGTTATGAAGAAATGAAACTTTGAATCACTTTGATAACATTTCATGAATATCCATCCCATTTTCTGCTTTAATCTGAGATCTTGAGATGATTAGAGTTAATCTGTCCAGGTTATTAATCTGCTGCTGAGCCTCATCTGAGTTCAGCTGTTAAAGTGAAAAATCTCCATCGTTCCTGTTAAACTTCAGCTCTTCTGTTATTCTGACCCATAGGGTCAAAGGTCAACATTCATTCAGTCACATCAGCAGCAGCCAGGAGACCAACATCATGTTGATCAGTTAAACTTCTGAGACTTTGACCCGGTTTGAGGATCTGGAACAAACCCAATGAGACCAAATGTTTTATAACTGATGGAAACAAAAACACTTTAAATTTCACAACAGAAACAGAATCTAATTTATCACATCTCTTAATCTATTTATCACATCTCTTAATCTATTTATCACATCTCTTAATCTATTTATCATATCTCTTAATCTATTTATCACATCTCTTAATCTATTTATCATATCTCTTAATCTATTTATCACATCTCTTAATCTATTTATCACATCTCTTAATCTATTTATCATATCTCTTCCATCAGGCGGGGTTAGGGTTAACACAGAGCAATCAGCGCCCCCTGCTGGACAAACAACAGGATTAAGGATCTGGTCACAAATTTTACTCATTAAAAAACATTTCAAAGATCAGAAACATGAGAAATTCTGACCATGGAAACATCAGCAGATAAAAGATTAAATGCAACATGTCCAAAAACTGATTTATAGTTAATTTCTGTAACCCTGGTTTTTATTTTATTTTATTTTTTAATTTAATTTCCAGGATTTTGTCTTTCAGTTTTAAACCATCAGCTTCAGAGGGAAAGTTTGACTGAACATGAAGACTTTCAACAATAAGAACAGTTTTAATATCTGGACTGTAAATGTGTCAGATTGACCCCAACTCTGGAGGTCAAACTGTTAATCATGGCGGCCTGAGGAAGAGCGCCCCCTGCTGGGGAAAAACATTCAGCTCTGAAGGAAAGTTTGGATTTTATAAAGTATTTCTACATGGTGACTCATATAAAGTTTTATTAGATAAAACAATGAAAGCTTCATTTTCCAGAGCAGTGATGATTTATTAGATATTTTACTGTCTAATGAATAAAGTGACTGAAAACTTGAGGAATTAAAGCTGATCAGGTTAAATGTATTTAATCCATTTTATGTCAGAAGGTTTAATCTGAACTCTGAGTGATTTTTCCTCCATCTTGTTTCAGTCAAAGTGTTTCCTGATTAAAAGGAAGAGGGAGGGTCCGACTGTGTGGTTCTGACAGAACCCGGTGAAAACAGTCAGATCTCTGAGAGCCGCCATGAAGGAAACATCCGTCAGGTTTCTGCTCCGTGAGTACAGAAAATGTGTTCTGATGTGTGTTCATGTGCTGCTGCTGGTTGACTGAGAGACACTGAGAGGACAAGGAGACGGGCTGCAGATTTATTCACTAGATGAACAAGGAGTCCAGATGTATATGAACCAGTTTCAGTCGTTTTTAAACCAGTTTCAGTCGTATTTAAACCAGTTTGAGATGCATTTAAACCAGTTTCAGTCGCATTTAAGCAGTTTGAGATGCATTTAAACCAGTTTCAGACGCATTTAAACCAGTTTCAGTCACATTTAAACCAGTTTCAGTCGCATTTAAACCAGTTTCAGTCGCATTTAAACCAGTTTCAGTCGCATTTAAACCAGTTTGAGATGCATTTAAACCAGTTTCAGTCGTTTTTAAACCAGTTTCAGTCGTATTTAAACCAGTTTGAGATGCATTTAAACCAGTTTCAGTCGTATTTAAACCAGTTTCAGACGCATTTAAACCAGATTCAGATGCATTTAAATCACGGAGCAGAAAAAGGGTTTTAAATGTTCTCTAGTTTCCTCAGAAAACTTTAAATATTTTCCTGTTTGTGTGAATCAGAAGCTTAAAGGCGTCAAAGTGATGAATTTGCTCTTCATGTCAGACGTGCAGCCATGTTGTAGTTTCCATCATAACAGCCGTTACATGCAGTAACATGTGCAGCAGCTGGATGATGAGGGAAGCTGCAGCACAGAGACGATGCTTCCTGTCATCCTCCTTCCTGCTGCAGCAAACGGCCACATGTGATGAGCTGAAGGTCAGGAGGAGCCGAGAGGTTTAGAGAACCAGAGGAAGCTCAGAACACGTCCAAGAGGAACCTCTGAGTCACATGACTGAACTGAACTGAGGAACAAGTGTGACGCTAATATTAATAACTAACTGGTTGTTAACCAGAGAGTTTCAGCCCCAAGCTGAGAGTCTAATAATAACCTGTGATCTGCGTCAGTCTGACTGTTTTATTCTTGATCTCTGCAGAGGAACAAACTTCAGACAACAGGGCCTGAAAAATTAAAGATATTTTATTCATTGACAGGAGCTACAGTTTATACAGTCATCTGTCATTGCAGATGACAGAGATAGGGTCACTGTAACCCTAACCCTAACCCTAAACTGTCCATGAATGTAACAAACAGAATCAGTGACAAACATCAGACCTGGTGGAGTCCAACCCTCAGCAGGAACCATCAGACTTACTGCCAGCAATGCAGATATTTATATAAGATATATTTTATATTTAGTTATTCAAAATGATTCTTTATTCTCTCTTTAGTTCTGACCTCAGTGCTGATCTGCACAACAACGCAAGGTTGGTTCACTTTATATATATCTAAGTATATAAAGTATAAACTTTACACATTAAAACCTCACACACAAAAACACAAGAACATTTTGTTTCATGGTGAGACTTTTATTCAAAATAAAAAGCAGAAGATTTTCCTTCCAGCTGTTCAGCTGACTGTGAGTCCCAGCAGATCCCAGTTCTTCATGAGAGAATCAGTGACTCTGATCTGTGAGGATGAAAACAGATCAGCTGGATGGACAGTGAGGAGAAACACCAGCAGAGAGACCAGGAAGCCATGTGGAGATGGATGGGGAGAAAATGATGGTTCTACCTGTTACATCAGCTACTTGTTCACATCAGATACTGGTCTGTACTGGTGTGAGTCTGGATCCTCCAGCAGCAGCAGCAGCAGCAGCAGCAGCAGCAGCAGCAGCTGCAGCAGCAGCAGCAGCAGCAGCTGCAGCATCCAGCTCTCTGTCTCTGGTAAGATCAGACTGTGGAGTTAGTGTTGCTGTGTGGAAATGGATGAAATGCTGTAGTTTGTCTCTGTGTTGAAAGGATCAGTGATCCTGCAGAGTCCTGTCCTCCCTGTGATGGAGGGAGATGACGTCACTCTGAGCTGCAGAGCAAGGAATCCAACCCACAACCTCCCAGCTGCTTTCTATAAAGATGGCTCCTTCATTGGTGATGGATCAGCAGGCAGCATGACCCTCCTCCATGTTTCCAGCTCTGATGAAGGCCTCTATAAATGTAGCATCAGCGGTTCTGGAGAGTCTCCATCCAGCAGGGTCTCTGTCAAAGGTCAGAGGTCAGCAGCTTCTCTGTCTGCTTCATCAGGAGACAAGAAGTAAATGATTCTCTGGTTCATTTCAGGGAGAGTCTCCTCCACCTCCATCCCTTCCTCCACTCCTCCTTCCTCCATCTCTCCTCCTCCTGGTTCATCTTTTCCCTCCATCATATCAGTTGCTGCCATTTTTATCTTCTTGGTTTTGCTCTCATTGATTCCTCTGGTTCTTCTGGTGAGACGATGTTTCTGCAGGAAACCTGAAGGTGAACTTTGAATATTGTTTTTTTCAATCATTTTAACAGACATGCAGTTTAATCTTTGTTTTGTTGTTGCATGTTTTATTTTTCATTATTTTCAAAAACTGTTTATTTCAGCTGAAGAAGGAAAAGATGGAGAAAAGGAAATTAGAGAACTGAAAACCTTCATTAACCAGCTGCAGCCAATCAGAAGCAGCAGAGGTAACAAGCTAACAGCTCCATGGTTATTAATGCTAACAGCTAATAGCTCAGTGGTTATTAATGCTAACAGCTAACAGCTCTGAGGTCGTCCAGCTTCCTGTTATTGAAGGAAACATGCAGGTCAAACTGGAGTTGCTCTGGAGAACTGGGAGGTTTAAACTGGTTTCCAGTTGGAGCAGCAGACATAAGGAGGATCCAGCCTCCTGTCTGCAGTTTGACCAGGAAGCTGATAAAAGACTTCCTGCAGCTCAGAGTGGATCACTGAGTGGATCACTGAGTGGATCACTGTTTGGATCACTGAGTGGATCACTGAGTGGATCACTGTGTGGATCACTGAGTGGATCACTGTGTGGATCACTGAGTGGATCACTGTTTGGATCACTGAGTGGATCACTGAGTGGATCACTGAGTGGATCACTGAGTGGATCACTGTTTGGATCACTGAGTGGATCACTGAGTGGATCACTGTGTGGATCACTGAGTGGATCACTGTGTGGATCACAGAGTGGATCACAGAGTGGATCACTGAGTGGATCACTGAGTGGATCACTGAGTGGATCACTGAGTGGATCAGAGCTGCACTAACCTCACTGTTTGTGCTGCAGGAACCTCTACATGTGTCCTCTACTCAGCGCTGAGGACAGACGTCCATCAGGGACGGATCGTCTGCAGAGCCTCAGCGGCTTCGTCTCCAATCTGAGGAAATCTGGTCCAAATCACCAGCACAGAGATCTGGATCTGTTTTCCTGCTGCAGCAGCTCCAAGCCTTTAACATCTGGCCCACAGCATGATACCCACTGACCCGGTTCTGGTCCATCGCTCTGATCCTCTCAGACTTTCTCTGTCAGGAGGTCAAAGGTCACAGCATCTGACTGCAGGGTTTAGAAACAACCGATGAGTTTCTGAAGTATTCTCCTGGTCCAACATCCAGTCATCACGTGACTCCATGAACATGATTCATGCTGCCACCTGGTGACAGGAATCTGGTACTACAATCACAATATCTCAGCGTAAAACAGGAGCGTCCAAACTGTCCTAAACAAAGTCCGACTTTGGACACGGTTTACAAGAAAGACACTTGTTTTAATATCATCCATCCATTTTCTAACAGCTTGTCCCAGTGGGGTCAGAGGTCAGGAGGTTCTGCTGCCTCTCCAGCTCAGGTTCTGGGCGAGAGGCGGGGTCACCTGGATGGGTCACCTGGATGGGTCACCTGGACGGGTCACCTGGACGGGTCAGCTGGACGGGTCACCAGTCTGTCACACAACTGTTTTAATACCTGATCAGGTTTTAGAGAAATCTGATTCTATCAGTTATATTTGTGAAAAAGAAGAATCAAAAATAAAATTAATATTTACTGTAAAGACATTCTATATTTTGATGCAAAATAAAAGTGGCTCTATATTTTTCATCAGGATGTACAAAATAGAACCACAGTATATTCTTGCATAGTTATGGTTATGTATATATCTGCATAAAGTACAACATTTTAAATAATAAACACCAATATGCACATTTTTCTTTTACTTCAAATATTGTATGCATGGATTATTTTTAGGATTATTTGTGATGTAGAAACATAAAGACAGTGAAGGTAAAAATGAACCTGAGTTACTTTGGCAGAAACAAAAATCCTCTTCTGCACATTAAACATTAAATTATCCACATTTTTCTTGTGTTGTATTTATTTATCTAAAATAAAATAATAATGAAACTGTAATAAAGTGGTTTACATACAGTTCCAGGTATAGTTCTGAGTCGGCCAGTTTATTACAATGTGTCAGCTGAAAATCAGTATTGATGTGGTTGAATGTTCCACCATATAAAGACATGATACCAACATGTTGTCTGTGTGATTCTTCCAAGCCAAGAATATCACAAAACCTGCTTCAGTGTGAAGAGCTTCATAAGCAAGGAGTCATAAAAACTTGATCCAGTTTCATTCACCAACATTCAGACGTCAGACGGGAAACTACAAAATCTCTGAGGCCAAACGTGAGTCCAGAGAAAACCAACATGGCCGACTGGGAAGCAGGTTGTTCAGGATGTAACCATGATGATGAGGGCTGGAAACAAGGCCTTTCCTTCTTGTTCTGCACAGTTCCTGGTTCAGATCCAATAGTTCTGGCAGGAACTGACTGAGTTCATGTCTCTGGTTGCTCTTCCTCAGGGTTCATGCTGCTCACATTCCCAAGAGTCGTGCTTTAAAATAAAACAAAGGTCTTAAAATGGTTGCTCCCAGTTCTTCTGCTACGGTCTTCTGATCCAGATTGTAGGAGTCAGTTCTGTTCTTCAGCTTTAAAGTGAAATGGTCCCTGCAACAGCTGGACTTCTGTGAGAGACGCCCACAAAGCCACTGGAACCAAGACAGAGCAGAGCGTCGCGCTACGTTCATGTGAACATGGCCACTAACAGACCAGACAGGTGGAAACAGGCCACGTTTTCACCAACACTGGTTTATTTGTGCTGAAATCTGGTTGAGACCAGTTTCAGTTAAAGTCAGTGGAACCAGCAGCAGCTGGTTTCTGTGGTTCAGACGAGATGAACAGGATGTGCTAACAGGCTGCAGGCCACTGAGCTGACTGGTGTCATGCAAAAAACTCTTTCCAAGGACTGTCCAGGTAGAAGCACTCAATCAGGTTCATTCATGCATTCTGCACAATTATAAGAGCTCATAAGATAATCAAGCCGGTCTGGATTCAAGTCTAACCCAGCTCACTGAGCTCTGCCAGGCAGAGACAACATGAAAGTTTTCATACAATGATTAGAAAGGAAAGCAAGAGGCAAGAAGGTCTGGTCCTTATGCAGCTGTGGAAAACAACCTTCCAACCTCTTACAAGTAACTCAACTAGTTATTTACAAAAAAGCCAAATAGTCCTTTTGGTGAGAGTTCACAAACATTTCATATGACATGACTTGCAGATGTGACCTTATTGTAATTATTGCCTGACACAGGCTAACCACAAGCTGCTAACACTGAACACACAGACACAAAGTAACATGAAAACACAAAGTTAAATAACGTTGCAGAATGTTGTTGGATAACAACTGAACTGTCTTTAATGAATCTTGATCTGTAATCAGTTCAATGAAACACAAAGAGTTCCTCAAGGATGTGTAATCGGTGCTCTGCTTCAATTTAAATGTTCTAACCCTGTTACACAGTTATGAATATAAAATTTTGTTTGTTCAGCATGCTGGTGTTTGAAGCTAATGCTAACTAGTTGGCTGGTTTTGAGGCTGATTGTTGCATGATTCAACTTTTTAGAACTGATATAGTGAATTTAACTTTGCAAGCTAAAAGCAAAAGTCTCCATTTTGACTTAGGACATGCTGAGTTGTGGGTTATTATGTGTAAAACTAATATGGCACTTATATCTGAGTCAAATTTAATTTTTGTTGATAGATCTATGTGGATGTCTACCAATATGTAAACGAGGAATATTTGTGGATATTACTGCATATATTTATCAGATTTGTTTAAACAACCATTGTAAAAAGTTTAGTTATTTAGCAGTCTGGTATTTTACTAGTTATGTTAATACAGACCAGGTGACTGGGACTGGGAATCCCTCCATACTGGTCTGGTAGGAGCCTGACAGTTTGTGCTCCATCTCACCACAATGACACAAACATCTGTACTCATCCCTTCTCCGTTGTGGACAAATCACATTTCTCCTCAGATAGTTGGACACATAAAATCAAACACTCTTTATTCACTTTGTGTCAGTTGGAAACTTTTGTGACCGCTGCTATTTAGCTTGAAAATTTGTGATTGTCGTTTTGCATCTTCAAGAAAATAAACTGTTGTATTGTGCATATATGTATAATTTTTTTGTGGTGTTCACTTTAATGTTTTCCTAAAAACAATCATTCTGTGCTTTTATTAATTACTGCCATCAGCTCCACCAGTCGTCACTAACATTCTGAATTTACATGACATTTAGCCTTTAGTATCATCATCAGTGCTACATGATTAAGACACAGAATCAGACAGTCTATTCATCCAGGGCAGAGGAAGACATGACCACTGAGATGGGCAGATGGTTTCCTTCAGATTTTAAAAGGCAACAATTAGACAAATTATAAGTTGGAGACGATCTTCAGTGAATATTTCAAAGTGTTACCTTTGTCTTTGTGTCGATATAAAGACACCAGGAGCAGAGTGGAGATGAAGTACGGACAAAACACGACCAGGTGGATGAAAACTGGAAGGCCCACAGTGAAAGGAGAAGGATTGGAGTTTAGAGAGGCAGCAGCTGCTGGAGATGAGATCAGAATCATAGATGAAGCTGCTGGAAACATGGAGGGAGAATCATATCAGATACTAAAGCTGCTCACCTGTAACAGACTTACTGCTGGGGGCAGAGGAGGTGATGGGTTTATCTGAAATAAGGAGAGTTACTGTTTGTTATCATGGTGATGCTCACTGGTTAAAACCAAAAATCCAGAGAAGCTGTTGACCTCTGACCTTTGACAGAGACCCTGCTGGATGGAGACTCTCCAGAACCGCTGATGCTACATTTATAGAGGCCTTCATCAGAGCTGGAAACATGGAGGAGGGTCATGCTGCCTGCTGATCCATCACCAATGAAGGAGCCATCTTTATAGAAAGCAGCTGGGAGGTTGTGGGTTGGATTCCTTGCTCTGCAGCTCAGAGTGACGTCATCTCCCTCCATCACAGGGAGGACAGGACTCTGCAGGATCACTGATCCTTTCAACACAGAGACAAACTACAGCATTTCATCCATTTCCACACAGCAACACTAACTCCACAGTCTGATCTTACCAGAGACAGAGAGCTGGATGCTGCAGCTGCTGCTGCTGCTGCTGCTGCTGCTGATGCTGTTGGAGGATCCAGACTCACACCAGTACAGACCAGTATCCCATGGAAACAGCACACTGATGTAACAGGTGGAACCATCATTTTCTCCCCATCCATCTCCACATGGCTTCCTGGTCGTGTTTCTCCTCACTGTCCATCCAGCTGATCTGTTTTCATCCTCACAGATCAGAGTCACTGATTCTCTCTCTGGGATCTGCTGGGACTCACAGTCAGATGAACAGCTGGAGGAAAAAACTTTCTGTTTACTAATGTTGTCAATGATTCACAATTTTGCATATGAGCAGTCAAACATTTTCTTTCCTTTTCTGAAGAACTAAAGTGTTTTTTGTGCAAAACAAATATCAGTTCAAGTAATTTTGACTCTTCATCATAAAACTGAATATCTAAATGTTAAACAGGAAATGAACCAACCTTGATTTGTTGTGCAACTCACCACTGTCATAACTAAAAAGAAAAAAGAAAGCACTTTGAAAATTATAGACTTTATTTCTCACACAGGCAATTTTACACCTCAATTTTTGTTTTGTTTTGCACTATTACAGTAAAATTTGTCCAGGAAGAAGAAAATATCTAAAGATAAATTTGTAGTTTTGTCATCATGTTTCATCTCTCATGTTTAGTTTCCAGAGGAAACTTCCAGCAGATCATCCTGAGTGGGTTTTAAGCCGGCTTTGGGTCTCTCAGCTTCAGCACCAGAATCCTAGTAAATGGACAGAAATAATTTCTACTTACAGAGCAGAAATGTGACAGATGTTTCCATCATCGTGTCTCTCAAAGGTCTGGGAGATTTTAAGAGACTCAGAGTAATCCCTGCCTCTTCCTCTGAGGGGCTGAAGAAACAGAAATGTTCTCCACCCACAGAAATACAAAGTGTGCATCACTTCCTTGTTTGCTTCACTGTGGAGTTGTTTGAGTGTGATGATTTTCTTTGCTGTGACCTAAATCAGGCCAGTTGTGGCCCAGTTGGCCTGATTATATCAAGTGACCCAATAACTCTGTCAAGTTAATGGGTCACTTCACAGAGTTACCCAATAGTTTCCACCTTTTTTATTTATTTTTTTATGAGATAGGAACATGTAGAGAACAGACCAAAAGTTTGGACACACCTTTTCATTCAATGCATCAAACTATGAACTAACACATGTGGAAATATGGACTAAACAATAAAGTGTAGAGCAAGTGAATATACACTTTATATTGTAGTTTCTTCAGAGTAGCAACGTTTCGCTGTGATCACTGCTCTGATCTCTCTGCATCCTCTAATGAGCTTCCAGAGGTCGTGACCTGAAACAGTTTTCACTTCACAGGTTGTCAGGTTGATCAGTGGATTTCTTGCCTTATAAATAGTCATGAAAATAAAGGAAACACTTTGAATGAGAAGGTTGTGTCCAAACATTTGCTCTGTACTGTGTACATTGAACATGTTAGATACTATGGGACTTGTTGCAATGCTCATAAAAGGGCCTTTACATAAACAAGCATTAATACAGTTAAACACACCTAACAAGAGGCCGTTACTCATGGTGGTAATGTATTAATTACTAATCTTATGTTTTCAGGAAACATGTTGAAGTTAATATCCAAACAGTTTTCAGTCTGAGTCCAGTTTAAGGTCCGTGTTGAAGGATTTCCAGAGGTTGGAGTGAAACAGTGGACTGTGCAGAAAAGGGCTTTCAGAGGCAGTTTGATGTTTCCACAGGCCTGTAAAGGAGCCATGCAATGACGATCCACGGCTGAGTGGAATTACAAGATCATGAGAAGAAACTCACTTGTGAAAACACTTAGACATTAAATTAGACTGATTACTGTTCCAACATTAAAGTTGCCTGAAATGTATGTATTTGTATATCTATATATATTCAGATTTGTTGAACAGCAGTGTGTTTAAAAAGATGAGTAAACCTCAAAATTCTTCAAAATAAATTGTATTTTAAATAACACAAATGCTTTGGGGACACTGCACATTCTATTTCAAAGCAAAATAGAACAGAATAGAGAAATTAATTGAATATTACAATATTTTACAGAAAGTCAAGAAATACAATTTTTAAAAAATTGCAGAGTTGACATCTTTCGTTACGAACTCAAAAATAAACTATATAAATTAAGAAATGCTGTAATACCAGTTGCATAAACACAGTTTGTAACAGACTGGTGACCTGGACAGGTGACCAGCATTAGCTGGACAGGCAGCAACACCTCGACCCACGAGGGACCAGGTATTAGAAAATCAATGGACGGATGGACAGATAACCATGGGTTCTGATTACTGATTCCCATCTGGGGTAAATTGGACCTCCTGCTGGTTCCGGTCAGCAGGTCCTGCAGGTTCTGCAGGTTCCAGGTCAACTGGACCTTGTTCCTCAGTTCCTCAGTATTTTCTAGTTTTGCCTCATGAACTTCATGTTTCATGTCCAGTTTTCTATGATTCCAGAGGTTCTGCTGCCTCTTCATTACTTTCTGTTGGTCTGATGATTTGCTGCCTGCTGAGGGTTTGGAGTCGTCGTCTTGTTGAAGGAAACATTTCTGCATTTAGCAACACGACTTGTTCTGTTGAACTCAAGCTGATCCATGATCCCAACACCATGAGAAACATCCCACATCATGATGCTTGAACCGCCGTGCTTCATCATCTTCACTGTGGCTTCAATTCAGAGTCTGACAGCAAACTGTCTGTGGCCCTTAGAACCAGAAAGAACAATTTTACTTATCAGTCCATAAAATATTATGCCATTTTTTCTAGGCCAATCAATATGTTCATGTTGTAGCTTCAGCTTGTCTTTATTTAAACAACAGGACGTTGTGGGACCCCCTGCTGGCAGCTTGGATACACAGAGACGTCGTCTCACAGCCAATCACAGATCATCGTCGGTCCTCTGGAGCCGATTACTGTCTGATTATTGGCTGATCATTGGCTGATTCTTTGCCCTTTTGGTTATTCTCCGGTCCATTCATTTTATTTTTCTTCAACTTTCTGGTTTTTGCTGTCATTTTAAGGCATTTGATACCATTTTAGCTGAACAGCCTATATTTTCTGCACTTCTTCATAGGTTTTCCTCTTTTATTAATTTTCTGATCAAAGAATGTTCTTCTGAACATGTTAGTCTGTGACGCATCCTACAGCATCAGTTGCCTTCACCCTTACATTAGGGTCACCTGCTCAACATCTGTTTATTCACATAATCAATGACCTCACTGATTGACCTCAGCACTGCTTGTCATGTTTTGGTTTACTCGATTAACCCACATGCGCAGAACACACCAGAGAGACCAAAGTAAGTTCAGTGATTTATTATAAACACGGTGCAAAAATGTGAAAAAACACGACTTCCAGGATGAGACACTCGGAGGGAGGAGGGGGGCGGAACCGGACCAATGATCTTCCTGAAGAGGAACAAAAAATGAGAACAGAGTGACGGGAGGGGAACTGAAGTTAGCGGTTCGGGACCTTACTTGCTGGTGGAGAAAGCGGAGCTGCGAGGGGTAGACTGCTCGGTGGGTCAGAGGTTGGAGCTGAGGGAACAGGCGATTGCGGCGTTGGAGGACGGACAGGTGAGACAGGCTCTTTGGGAACCCAGGAGGATCAGGTCGTGGGGTCTCAATGCTTCTCCCAGCCACTGTGAATCCAGACGGACAGGATGCCGGCAGTTCCACGGCAACGAAAACCTGAGGCGAGGCAACAAGAGCAGAGTATAAGAACAGAGCAGGTGGTCTGAGGTCAGCAATAACTGGGTCTACCATTCACAAGCTGACACTCTGGCACTGGAGTGTTGACGATGTCCTCCTGAAATACTCCTCCCAACAAGGTAAGTGGCAGCAGGTGTGCTGGTAGGATCCGCCCACCACGATGTTCCTGGACGCCACCTGGTGGAGAAGGCCGCAGGAACCTCATCCAGCCCTCCGGAGATCCACAACACTGCTATCTTTTTTTGAACACACTCCTTTCAGTCAATGATTCAGTTTCACAGCATCAGGAACATCAGGCCCGTTTTTCTACCTTCACTAAACTTCTAGAAACTTAATGCAGTGTAGAAAAAACAAAAACACTGATTCATCAGGCTAGTGGTGTGGGACGGTTGGTACTTTGAACACAACAGATGGATGGATGGATGGATGGATGGATGGATGGATGGATGGATGGATGGATGGATGGATGGATGGATGGATGGATAAAACATGTATGCTGTTTCCTCTTAAAAGTAAATCTCCTTTAGTTTCACTTAAGTGGTGCTGTCTCTTTAAGAACTAACATGTTCTTTCTTGCAGGATGTGAGGGCTGCTGGTGCCTCTCTCCAGGGGTTAAAAGGTGAGAAACCCCTAGAGTCACCCTGGACAGGTCACCAGTCCATCACAGAATTATATTATAGCATCACATTATGATATTCCCACAACCAAAACAAATCCGGAGGGTCGCCTTCATTTTTTCATGCATGTTTGAAAAATGCTTGAATCTGCATGGCAAACATTCATTCATTCATCCATCCATCCATTTTCCGGTCACCCTTCTCCCTAACGGGTCTGGAGGTGCTGGTGCCTCTCCCCAGCTGCGTTCCAGGTGAGAGGCGGGGTCACTGGACAGGTTGCCAGTCTGTCGCAGTGGCAAACATTCAGCTGTGCAAAAACATCTGGATGGACTGAAGAGCAGCTCCTCCTCAGAGCTTCTGCCTCACAGGGCAAACCTCCCCCACAACTTCCCCAGTTCCTTCAGACTAGCCAACAGCAATGATCAAACACCTGCAGCAGCTGAGCTCATGAACTGCTGGTCAGAGCAAGTCTTGTAAAAATAGAGAAGTCATGTTGGGGTGACTGGAGCTCACCCCAACATCCTGCTCCTGCTCTCAGTTTTTAAAGAGACAATGGCGCAATTTGAAGACATTAGATCAGGAAGTAAGATTTTTTCAAGTCATAATTAATACATTCAGCATTTTTATAGCAACTGAAGGTAACATAGTTATTACTTTATTCACTTTGCTGTGTTACAGAACGTGTTGTATGCTAACCTCACTGTGGTTATGCATAGCTTTGGATTTTCACTTTCAGAATATTTTGGAGAATAAATGGAACTTTTGTTGATGCATTAATACATGTTGTACATAAATGGATTTTCATCTAAAGTGGCAAAATGCCAACCATAATGATAAGTGTCTATGAAGTTTAGGTTTTATATTAGATAATGATGGCAGTGAAGCTGCTGACTCAGGGGGTTTAAATGTTCTTCAGTATGAAAAAACAAGAAAAACAGAACCAACAACAACTCTAATCTGCAATTATTTATCCTGTATTATAAAACAATAAATATATATACTATTCATTCTTCGTATTCCTGTATATTCCGTATAATCTGTGTAATTTGTATATGTACATAGCTCTCATATTTATATTTATATTTGTACAAAACATTTTATTTATAGCACATCAATATTATTCTCTGTTTATATCTTTGTGCAACTGTTTATAAATATTTATATCCTGTATTGCACTTCTGGATAGATGCAAACTACATTTCATTGCTTTGTACATGTGACAGTGCAATGACAATAAAGTTGAATCCTATTCTATTTTATTTTTAATAAATTTTATTTAAATAAACTCAGTTTAATTGATGGAAATCCCATGAAGCCTTTGCTGCTGACCAGAGCTGGACTAAAAACAAAACTATTCTTCTGCAAAGAGGATGAAGCCATATGTGAACTCATGACTGCCTCCTAGTGGACACATGCTGATAATGCTGCTGTTGTGAAAACAGGCTGATCCGGAGGGCCGGTTCTGTTCTGGACCATCTGGACCCAGAGGAGGTGATGAGTGACAGACAGACGGATAAACCTTCATCCTGATGGACATAGATTATATTTTATATTCACATTCCCAGAGAGTTTTTACTTTGCACTGAGTCCATTGTTTTTATTATGTGACTCTTATTTTGCCATAATGATGTAAATTCTCCACCTGTAGAAAATATAAAGGAATATATAAAGGAATATATAAAGGAATATATAAAGGAATATATAAAGGAATATATAAAGGAATATATAAAGGAATATATAAAGGAATATATAAAGGAATATATAAAGGAATATATAAAGGAATATATAAAGGAATATATTTCCTCATCTTAATTCCACGTCTGTCAAATATTGATTTGTTGAGTTATGACAGGATTTGACAACATTGATGCTGACAGAGGATGTGATCAGTTATCATGATAGATTTTACCTTCAGGTGAAACAAGTCCCACTTCCACTCCCACTATATTAATGCTAATAATGCTATCAGAGAAATGTCATTCATATGGGGAGATATATATATATATATATCAATATTTCCATTAATACAGGTACGTCTACCTGTATTAATGACATTTGTCTGATTTCATTATTAGCATCTCAGTTTCCTTATTAAGTCATTGATAAGTTGATTCTCTTGCTCTTCTTCTGCACTTTTTAATGCCAAAGCTGCAGAAAGTTTCAATACATAAAGATTCATATTTCTGCTTCGTTCAAGATCCAAAACCCTGAGGTGAGTCACAACATCATGAACCTGGATATGAACCGACTGCCAATCATTATAAACATGATGAGGAGGAAGAATCTGGTTCAGCATGTTGACATTTACAGATCAATAATCACAGTGATAGATTAGACAAAACTTTATCCAGCTGAACAAAAACTAAACTGAAGAGGAAACATCTAGAATTATAGATCTAGAGTCAAGGCACAGCTTCAGTTCTTCCAGATGTAAACTACAGATCAGGCTGACCTCTGACCTCTGACCCTTGGGTTCCAGATTGGGCCTTCTAGCAGAACATTTCCAGAACCAGAAACTAAAGTTTCCGATCAGAGAAACTTTGATTCCTGCAGCATCAGAATGAAGAACCAGAACCTGCTGCTGCAGTTCTGACCAGAACCAGGAGGATGGAGACACCACCCGGTTCTGTACCACCTGGTTTGGTACCACCTGGTTCTATATCACTCAGTTCTACATTCCTTCACTGAAAGACTTTAAATACTGAATCCAGTTCAGTTTAAATACTTTGTCATGTGTCATGCTGACCTAACCAATAAAACCAATAAAACCAATAAAACCAATAAAAACCGATAACCACTCAATTTTTAATGCGGTTCTTCTGAACAGAGAAACTAAAGCTCACTTCCCATTTCTCTGTGGAACAAAAACAAAAAAAAGCCTATCAATGATAATCACCCAAAAGCTGCAGGCTTTTAAAGGAGGAAGTGTGGAAATGTTTTCTTTTATCACCTCCTGCTGGTCAATAAACAAACGTCACATTCAGCAACGCTGGCTTCACTTTCCAAGCCAGAACCAGAAGCAGAAGAGGTTCTAGTTCTGGTTCTGCTTCTGGTTCTGGTTCTGGTTCTGGTTCTGATGTAGAGCAGAACCAGAACTAAACATGGAGAAGCAGCTTTCAGCTTCTATTCTCTCAAATGACCAGCAGAGGGCGATGTTTGCTTTGCAGAAGAGAGAGAGTCTCATTACTTAACATCTGAAGGAACTTTTGATTCCTGCAGCATCAGACTGAAGAACCAGAACCTGCTGCTGGAGTTCTGACCATGGATGGAGACACCACCCGGTTCTGTACCGCCTGGTTCTGTATCACTTGGTTCTACATGACCCGGTTCTGCACCGCTGGGTTCTGTACCACTTGGTTCTGTACCACCAGGTTCTACATGACCCGGTTCTACATCATTCACTGAAAGACTTTAAATAGTGAATCCAGTTCAGTTCACTGAACAGATTAAAGATCTGTTTCTGGTTTTGGTTCTGGTTCTGCTCTACATCAGAACCAGAACCAAACATGGAGAAGCAGCTTTCAGCTTCTATCTGATCTGGAACAAACTTCCAGAAAACAGAAAAACAGCAGAAACCCTGAGATGATTTGTTATTAGTAATTAATGGAATATTGATCAATATATTTGATGTTTATCTGCTTGATGGTTTTGATGACAGCATTTAAAAAGGTTTATTTCTGGTTTCATGACTGCAGGATGTTTGGATCCAGATTCATTTCTTCTCAGCTCTGGAACAAACTGAGACTGAATTCATCACTTCCTGTCGTCTGTCCTGCTCTCCACCAAAATCAGATTCTGTCAGATCTAAAACCTGAACATTTCTCTAGATATTAAAAAAAAGGACAGAGATTTTTACATTCAGAAGAATGGAGTGTTTCAGCCAGGAGGTCCACATCCCAGTCCTCCAGAACCAGAACTGTACTCCTCTAACAGACCGTCCTCCAGCGGCGTTATTCATTCACATCATGGCGCTCCTTAGTTTACAGTGACTGTCAGCTGTTCTCCAGAAGAGGAGAGCAAACAGAATCAGCTGCCAAACCAGAGCTACAGGTCTGTAAAAGCAGATTCCTGTGGGCTTCAATCCAGTTGCTCTCGTGTCTCTGGGTTGTTAAACTTTGACCCTGAGACTTTGATGTCCTCTCTGCTGGGTGTGACCTCTGACCTCTGGCTTCAGGCCTTCTGCTGCCCAATCGGCACGCTTCCTGCTGCTGAGAGAAATAAAAGAAACAAGCAAACATAGAGCTCCCAGTCCTCAGTGTTTTATGGATTATTAATTTAATCCAGTCACCTTTTCATGGGTTAAATTTAAAACTGTGGAATTAAAAAAAAAGAAACCATCAGACTGGAAAACAGGGAATTAAATAACATTGACATCATTACATTAATATTGAAAATGAGAAACATTGTATTGATTGTCTGTTTTATCTAATATTCATAACTTTTCATTTGTTCCTGTTTTGTCTGTTTATTTGCAGATTATGAAATGATGTCAGCAGGTCAGACCAGGTCATGGGGGCCTGTTGATGTCGGCCTGTAAACATGGTTTTATTCCCGTCTGGATCTGAGCTCTCAGATCTGAACCAGGAGGAAGAAGCTGCTCTGAGTCTCCGTCCACCAGGGTCTAACAAACATCACCGTCCTCTTGTCTACTGGCTCTAGAAGAGGCCAAGAATGCTGCTGCAGAGCAACAGCAGAGGAATCAACCTGGAAATGAAATACAGAGGAAATATTGGAGGCAATAAATCAACTGTGAGTAAAAACAAGAGACTGTAAATTAAAAAATAAAAGTAAATGGAGAAAATAATGTGAGAAAAACTGAGGTTAGAAACAAAAAGGCAGTGATGGTGGTGATTGGTGAAATGGTGATTCTGGGTTTTAACTTCACTGATCAGAGAAGCTGAACGGATCTGATCAGCATTTAATCAGCTCAGAGACGCTGAAGCAGAAACTGTTTCAAACTGCAGCGTTGATCCTAAACCGGTAAAGAACCAGTTCAGTACAGGAAGTTCAGGAGGAATGTGGGCGTGGCTTAATCTGAGAGGAGCTCAGTGCGTATATCTCTATTTCTCCTCAGCCAACGAAAAGCTTGTTGCGTCATAATGATCTACTTTATATAATAAAACAAAGTCAGAGCAGTGATATCAGATCAACCTGAGACCTTCTGCTTACTGACAAACACCATGAAGATCTTCGTCTTTCTCTGCTTCGCTCTGAGTTTCATGGATCTGTGTCTCTGTGGAGGTGAGCAGATAAAATGTTTCCATCAGAGCAGCAGCACTGAAACCAGTCAGGATGATTCAACTTGATTTATTGATTCCTGATCAAATCTGGGATTAAAAAGCTCTAGAAAAATGAAGCTTGTTTTTATGTTGACCAGATTATTAGATTATTTCTAACAGATTATAGTTTAATGTTTGACATTGTAAAAACATTTTGATCAGGATCTAAAGGAAGATTGAAGAAGTTTGGACAGAAATTCTGAATATTGACTTTTATAACTCAGACTTTAATTCTTCTGGTTTCTGTTGTTTATTTTAACATAATTAAATAAAAACTAAAAATGCTGAATCATCACTGAAAACATTTGACTATGACTTTAAATGATTTTATATTCTGACTATAAGTGAAAAAACACTTTATGTTCAGAATCTGACCAACATTAAGATCCAAACGCAGCAAATGAATTTCACTTCAGTTTCAGGGATTTATTGCATAAAGAAAATCATTTTATTTAGAGCAAATAAAGCAGAACAGGATGTTCATGTTTTTATGACATCACAGCGACGGACAAACAGAACAGACTGAATGACGGTTCATCTGAACAGAACCAGAGTATCAGAACCAGCCCAGGTCCAGAGAAAGGCTGGTTCTGAGGATGATGAGGAGAGGAAGAGGGTTTAGCCGATGGCAGAGAGGAGCAGAGAGGACAGACTACAGATATCATTATTGATTATAGATCAATCCATAAGCAAACAATAAGGAAACAATCATTCTGTTACAGACAGACAGTAACTTTAGGCTTTATGTTCTGTTGTATTATTGATCTCTGGATGATTGTGTATTGATTTATTATTGTTGTTTGTTTTTACAGATCCAATAAACATCACAGCAGAATCAGGAGAGAACGTCACTCTGATATGTAGAGCTGACAGGAACGGAAAAGTTTTAGCTGTAAAGCTGATCAGAGACGACCTGAAACCACGATATGTATTTCTCTACAGGGATGAGCAGATTGATGTAAATCTCCAGAACCCTCAGTATTTGGGCCGAACAGAACTCCTCAGCCATTACATCACTGATAGAAACGTCAATGTGACTATAACCAATGTGACAGAGAAAGACAGTGCAGTGTATGAATGCCGTGTTCAGACTGAAATAAATGGATCAAAAAGCAACTCAGAAAGCACCTTCATCCACCTTCATGTAGCTGCTGCTCCTGCTGCTCCTCCAGGTGAGTGTTTGGATCAGAACCAGCAGCTTCCTGGTTCTGGATCTCAGATCAGATAATGATCTTCAGTGGGATCAGACTAATTCCTGGTTCTGTTCTGCAGGAACCATGGATGGAAACAGAGGAGAAGGAGGGAATGAAGATGGAGTCAGTCGAGGTCATGTTGGCCTGATGGTCTTTGCTGTTCTTGCTCTAGTTTCTCTCATTGTTTTCATGGTGATGATCAAAGTTATCAGGAGGAAGAAGATCAATACTCCTTCTCCCCCTGATGATGCAGAGACACCTCAGCTGATCTGACTGAAAGTTGATGTTTCAGGATCATCAGTCAAAGCAGAGACATTGTCTTTAGTCAATAAGAACATGGAAATATCAGGTTTTATTAAATATAAATGTGACAAAAACAATGAAGATCAATAACTTGCACAGTTCTTTTCCACAGCTGCATAAGGACCAGACCGTCTTGCCTCTTGTTTTCCGTCCTAATCATTGTATAAAAACTTACATATTGTAAATCTGGGAGATCTTATTGAGCTGGGTTAGACTTGAATCCAGACCAGCTTGATTTTCTTATGAGCTCTCATGATTGTGCACAATGCATCAATAAACCTGATTGATTGGTTCTACCTGAACAGTCCTTGGAAAGAGTTTAATTTCCACGACAAATTGGTGCCGAAACCTGGGAATCCTCGACTGAACATCCGAGGACGTCGATGAAGAGCGTTTTGATACCGACCTGGTCTAGACTCCAGCCTCAAACCTCGTATAGGATTTACGAGAGAAGAGGGGTGTTGGTCGGCTCCATGGCTCCAGCGACGGGATCAAGAAACTCCTAATAATTTATTTTTTTTACTGGAGAACTGATGGAACATTCAGGGGACAGCTGTCAGTCTCCTGTTGGACATTTGCACTAAGAACTGTGTGCAACTGAGCTTTTAAAACCTCTGCTGGTTTCCTGTTCAGTATCAGGGTAGAGAAGGAAAAGATAAACATGCTTCAGAGCTGTGAGAGAAGAAGAATTGAACTGTTTGATGATTGTTTCATCTGTGGACAAAATGGACATTGACTCAGGGACGATCTGGACGATCCAAAGATCCAACACCAGAACCAGTTAGACTGACAGGGAGCCAGAGGAAAGAGACGGGGAAGGATTTCACTGTAGCGATGCCGACACAGAGAGGAGGAAAGGAGCGGAAAAGAGACGTTCAAGATAAGTGACGCACACACACACAGCTGTGACACACACACACTGCAACGAAGACTGCTTGCTACTAACCCTGTTGAGATTTAGAAATTCTTTAGTGCAAAATGAATGACTTCAATTGAGTTCTGTGCTCCTGTTATCTCTGTCCTGTACAGCAGGACCAATATTAACGATCCTTCAGGAGCCCGTGAGCCATAGATTGAGAAACCGTGAAGGGAAACTGCAATCACTGAAGTTCTGCAATGAACTAATAAAATTATGCCATTGAACTATAATGAGTAAATGTTAAACTAACATTTTAAGAAAAACTATGGTTTTGAAACTCTTTAACAACAAACTCTTGCAGAAGTCAAAACTTCAATCTCTCTTTTTCCCAATATTAAATATTATAATGAGTTAATTGTGTTTCATAGGGAGCTAATTGTGATTATGAGAAGCATTGGTTCTGTGCCCCTGAGAAACTGTCAACATCTGTTTTGTTTGGATCATAGACAGAGCAGGTTGGACAGAGCAGGTTGGAAAGAGATGATTGGACAGAGATGATTGGACAGAGATGATTGGACAGAGCAGGTTGGACAGAGATGATTGGACAGAGCAGGTTGGACAGAGATGATTGGACAGAGATGATTGGACAGAGCAGGTTGGATTGAGCAGGTTGGACAGAGATGATTGGACAGAGCAGGTTGGACAGAGATGATTGGACAGAGATGATTGGACAGAGCAGGTTGGATTGAGCAGGTTGGACAGAGATGATTGGACAGAGCAGGTTGGACAGAGATGATTAGACAGAGCAGGTTGGACAGAGATGATTAGACAGAGCAGGTTGGACAGAGATGATTGGACAGAGAAGGTTGGACAGAGATGATTGGACAGAGCAGGTTGGACTGAGCAGATTGGACAGAGATGATTGGACAGAGCAGGTTGGACAGAGATGATTGGAAAGAGCAGGTTGGACAGAAATGATTGGACAGAGCAGGTTGGACAGAGATGATTGGACAGAGCAGGTTGGACAGAGATGATTGGACAGAGCAGGTTGGATTGAGCAGGTTGGACAGAGATGATTGGACAGAGATGATTGGACAGAGCAGGTTGGACAGAGCAGGTTGGACAGAGCAGGTTGGACAGAGATGATTGGACAGAGATGATTGGACAGAGCAGGTTGGACAGAGATGATTGGACAGAGATGATTGGACAGAGCAGGTTGGATTGAGCAGATTGGACAGAGATGATTAGACAGAGCAGGTTGGACAGAGATGATTGGACAGAGATGATTGGACAGAGCAGGTTGGATTGAGCAGGTTGGACAGAGATGATTAGACAGAGCAGGTTGGACAGAGATGATTGGACAGAGATGATTGGACAGAGAAGGTTGGACAGAGATGATTGGACAGAGCAGGTTGGACTGAGCAGATTGGACAGAGATGATTAGACAGAGCAGGTTGGACAGAGATGATTGGACAGAGCAGGTTGGACAGAGATGATTGGACAGAGATGATTGGACAGAGATGATTGGACAGAGCAGGTTGGACTGAGATGATTAGACAGAGCAGGTTGGACAGAGATGATTGGACAGAGAAGGTTGGACAGAGATGATTGGACAGAGCAGGTTGGACTGAGCAGATTGGACAGAGATGATTAGACAGAGCAGGTTGGACAGAGATGATTGGACAGAGAAGGTTGGACAGAGATGATTAGACAGAGCAGGTTGGACAGAGATGATTGGACAGAGAAGGTTGGACAGAGATGATTGGACAGAGCAGGTTGGACTGAGCAGATTGGACAGAGATGATTGGACAGAGCAGGTTGGACAGAGATGATTGGACAGAGCAGGTTGGACAGAGATGATTGGACAGAGCAGGTTGGACAGAGATGATTGGACAGAGCAGATTGGACAGAGATGATTAGACAGAGCAGGTTGGACAGAGATGATTGGACAGAGCAGGTTGGACAGAGATGATTGGACAGAGCAGGTTGGACAGAGATGATTGGACAGAGCAGATTGGACAGAGATGATTAGACAGAGCAGGTTGGACAGAGATGATTAGACAGAGCAGGTTGGACAGAGATGATTGGACAGAGCAGGTTGGACAGAGATGATTGAACAGAGATGATTGGACAGAGCAGGTTGGACAGAGATGATTGGACAGAGATGATTGGACAGAGATGATTGGACAGAGATGATTGGACAGAGCAGGTTGGACTGAGCAGATTGGACAGAGCAGGTTGGACAGAGATGATTAGACAGAGCAGGTTGGACAGAGATGATTGGACAGAGCAGGTTGGACAGAGATGATTGAACAGAGATGATTGGACAGAGCAGGTTGGACAGAGATGATTGGACAGAGATGATTGGACAGAGATGATTGGACAGAGCAGGTTGGACTGAGCAGATTGGACAGAGAAGGTTGGACAGAGATGATTGGACAGAGCAGGTTGGACTGAGCAGATTGGACAGAGATGATTGGACAGAGCAGGTTGGACAGAGATGATTGGACAGAGCAGGTTGGACAGAGATGATTGGACAGAGCAGGTTGGACAGAGATGATTGGACAGAGCAGGTTGGATTGAGCAGGTTGGACAGAGATGATTGGATTGAGCAGGTTGGACAGAGATGATTGGACAGAGCAGGTTGGACAGAGATGATTGGACAGAGCAGGTTGGACAGAGCAGGTTGGACTGTCTCTCTTTCGGCTGAGCAGAGACAGTATTTATTTTGGGTTCCTGACTTTACTCACACATAGCTTTGGCAAAAATCACATAAATTGTCATGGAGTAAATTTCTTCATGCATGTAAAATTGAAGCTGATTGGATTATTTCACCTGTTGACCCAAATGTAATGTTTCTGAACATATTGGCATTCAAAGAAAAGTTGTATCATTATACATTTTAAAAACTGTGGAATTGGTTCCAACCACAGACCTAAATTTTGAATCATGCTCTTTTATCTCAAACAGATCTGTCTCCACTATCAATAGCGCTATCTAAAGTTCTTGATGATTTTGGGCTAAAACACAAATATGACAAAGGTCTAATTAAATAAATAATTAAATTTATTAAATTGCTTTGCTTTTGGATTTGAAGGAAAACTATGGTGACAGCTTCATTATCTACAATGCTCTAACTAACGCTGATTGGTGCTGTTTGTTATGGCTCTGCATCATGTGATCCTGTTACTGTTTTTATGATGTAACTAATTGCCATCTCTGTGACTCAATTACTTTTTAACTATTTTATGATGGAATTCATTGAACTGTTCCCTGCTAAGGGGAAGAAATGTTTTGATTGTTATTATTGACATGGTTAGCAAGTGAACGGAAGCTCTCAGGGACAGGTCCTTCCTTCCACTTCTGTCTGTAATGATGCACTTACTGTCAAAACCTGTCAAATACGCTTTTTTGAGTTTTTCAGATAGAGAAAGACACATTGCCACGTCCTGCCGAGACGCCACTCCATACCATCAAACCCGGTGATTGGATCGTGGTGAAAAGCTTCCAGAGGACACATTGGACCTCCACACGCTGGGGGGGACCATTTCCAGTGCTGCTCGTCACAGTTATGGCTGTTAGGGTGACGAGTTGATGAAAGAAGCTGGTAAAAGAATAGAAATCATTTTATCAGCTTTAATGCATAAAGACCAGACTGGCTTAGTTAGACGCAGATAAACCTGAGACACCATTAGGAAACCATCCTGAGAGAAAACACTCAGTAAACTCTGAAAAACACTGATATGAAGCTGTTGACTTAGAAGAATCAAATATACCTGGCTCATTAATTTTCCTCTAGTCTCCCAGATCCAGGGACTCCGCATGTGCAGGGGAAATCATAAAGAAACCATTCGACATCAGACTTCAGATATATCTAGAGCTTTATCCAGAGAATTCAATGCATACAGAATGTTACATCAGCATCACACCCAGATTATCAAGACGTCCAACACATTGACAACACATAGAGTTACCTGCAACGAGTTGAAAGGGAAAAAAAAAAACAAAAATGCATTTTGGGAATTGCTCATGCGGGTGCAAACAAAGCAATTCGTTCTTCTGCTGTAAAACATACATTTTATAAGGATGTGTATTCTCTTAATTTAAATATATGCATTAGAAGGTGTATCCTCCCCTTGGGGGGCTGTTTAATGTTCATTTCATTGCCTTCTCTGAGACCTGTAAAAAAAAACCACAAGCAAATATATGGAGGACAAAGGTCATTCTCCACTAGAGTCTTCCCGTACCAATCTCTCCTTTAAACATTCCAGGACAGAATTTATGACCTGGTGGTTTTTCTGCCTCAGTGATTCAACAAGAAACTGATTTCTATTTTAAACAACTGGCACAAAAATTTAATGCCAAATAATAACTATAAGTTTAGGTCTAAAAACTGCAGGGTTGTCTACTTTTAGAAAAGCTCTTTTAGAATACCTGAAATAT